GATTTTGTCAACCCGGCTTCTACGTAACAGCTGCCTGTTAATCCACATTTCAAATGCTTCTGGTCTCTCCAAGTGGCTTTCTGTCAGAGACCCAATTCTCCACTCCGTAGAGCAGGATGGAAAAGATGTAACATCTGACAAGCATCTGATTTTCAGTCTTAGGCTTCTATGTCGTGACTGCAGAAGCAGGGGTGAAATGTTCCCGGTTCGGACCGGATCGCCTGATCCGGTAGCGATGGAGGCGGGTGGTTCGGAGAACTTGGAAAGCTGTTTTTTTGGTGGGATGGGGGTGGGCGGGAGGTCTGGAAGTTGCAAAAAGGGAGGGTTTCGGGGGGGGCATACCTTGATTGAAGGATTCCTTCTCTTTCTCTTCCTGAGTAGACGGTGTGACAGGCCTGCTATTTCGTGCAGCCCAAGAGAAGTCTCGATCCCGCCGTGCGCCACTCGTCAAAACAGCGGAGAGAGAGTTGCCTTAGAAAGATTCTGCAGCCTGTATCATTATCCAAGACGAGATGCTAATTGAGAGCTCCCGCCCGGGAGCCTCATGGAATTGCACTTCTGCAAGCGATCTCTCCGAATCACCCTGCGAAAATAAAGAATTCCCTTAATTGGATTGTCTCAACATTGGCAGCTGAAAACGTCTGTCAATTCCTTGCAAATGTTTCCTCCTGAGATTCGGAAGCTTTCGGGGAAGGAGGGACTGGGTTGCTCTAAAACGTAAAGGTAAAGGTTCCCCTCGCGTGTATGTGCTAGTTGTTCCTGACTCTAAGGGGCGGTGCTCATCTCCGTTTCAAAGCCGAAGAGCCAGCGCTGTCCGAAGTCGTCTCTGTGGTCATGTGGCCGGCATGACTCAACGCCAAAGGCGCACAGAACGCTGTTCCCTTCCCACCAAAGGTGGTCCCTATTTTTCTACTTGCATTTTTTACTTGCTTTCAAACTGCTAGGTTGGCAGAAGCTGGGACAAGGAACGGGAGCTCACCCCGTTACGCGGCACTAGGGATTCGAACCGCTGAACTGCCGACCTTTCAATCGACAAGCTCAGTGTCTTAGCCACTGAGCCACCGTGTCCCTTCTGGGTTGCTCTAACGGGTTTAAATAAATGTGGTCAATCTACTGCTGAAAGAGTGGCATGGCCAGCTTTTAACATGCACGTTGGACCACTGCTTCTCGAACCTTTGAGAGACCTAAGAGGGTCTTACAACAATTCATTTAGTGACCAAAGTTACTATGGCCCTGAAAAAAGTGACATTACAGACATACAGTACTGTACATGAGAATGGTGGCTGAAGACCACAATCCAAGAAGAACATGCATTGTACTGCAGATCTGTATATTGGGGAAACAAAACAACCACTTCATAAATGCGTGGCACAACATAGGAGAACAAACCCATCAGGACAAGATTCAGCAGTCCATCTGCATTTAAAAGACAAAGGCCATTCTTTTGAAGACAGAAAAGTCCACATTTTGGACAGAGAGGATCGCTGGTTTGAAAGAGGGGTCAAAGAGGCCATCTAGGTCAAAATTGAACAGCCCCTCTCTCAACAGAGGGGGAAGGATACCACATTATCTATCTCCACTCTACAACACAGTCCTTTCAGCAGTTGCAAGAAGGCTCCATACCCATTTGCACCTCTCAGGTGACCCTGAGGACACAGATAAACCTCCAAGAGGCCTCAACGGCTCTCTAAAAGGAATGCAAATGACCAACTGTCTGCAAGGAATATAAATCCTTCCATTCCCCACCATCCAGCCAGAACTGAAGAAGCTTCTTGGATGGAGAAGTGAAACATCTTCAAAGAAAAACCAGAAAGTCCAGTTGCCTCTTCAAAAAAAAAAAAAAACATGTTTGGGACAACCACAACTTGAATGACTGAGAATCTCCATATACGATAATTGGATGCATGAAAAGATGTTTGTTTTTCTTTCTAACAAAAGAAACAAAAGGATTGTCCACCTATAGTGGAATCTATTTTTTTCACCCATTATAAATGCTATTGGATCATCCTTAATTTGCCAGTTGTGGTGAAATCTCGGGTTGGCTTGTGAATAATATTATTCCCCACTTTCTGACTAATTTATGACCCGCCTGATGAGTTACTCTGTGCATTTCTTTTGTCCCGTGGGAAATTCTAAAAAATTGGAGCAGCAGCTGAAAACATGGTGTTTTATTAAAATTCCCTGCTATAAAACATAATTGTTCAAGGTTCTCCCAACGCATTTTGTTTCAATAGCAAACATATTTAATTAGTGGTGTTGAAGATTGGAAGATGGGCTAAATGGTTTTGCATTTGATTTTTTTTTTTTTTAAAGATCTCATTAGTACGTATGGTTGAAGAGCAATAAATTAAGGGTCGAATCCCATGCTGTAAGATTGTTCATGATTTAATGCATCTTATTTCTGTGGGCAGAGATATGTATTGTAAATCAGGCTGAGGTTGCAATTTTGCTTCGCTGCTCCAAATTTTCACAGAGTCTCTGCAACACAAAATCACATTCTTGGATCCGATCCGAACCGGGAGCATTTCACCTCTGAATGAATTAGATATCATAAATTTATATGTTCAGATGAATTTAAATTACTTAAATGAAGTTAACTAAGTACTTTGAATACATGTAAAGATTTTCCTCATTTGCTGTATTAAAAAACAAAACAAAACACAACAAGTCTTTTTAAGGAGCCAAGGCAATGTGAGAGCTTCATAATGTACATTTTATAGTTCATAATCTTTCAAGGAAAATCGGTGCTGGGATTGTGTCCAAGTTTGCAATTGACACCTGGGTATTCCATACATTCATTTTCCCTAAAACAATTACCAGACTAATTTCTGTTCTCATTCTCAGCCAGAAATGTTGCCACTGTGTCTTAAACAGCCTCAATTAAAAAGCAGAACAAGTGGATGGTGGAAATTAACCCCTATTTAACAGGAGTTCAATTCTGGGAATTGAAGTCCACACAACTTAAAGTCATCAAGGTTGGGAAATGCTCCATTAGATGACACAGTCTTTAAAAAACGTCAGTTGCAAAGCTTGACTTGATGTGCTTTTTAAGAGGGGATCTGGAGCATGCTCACCCTGTGAAAATTAGTGAGATAGACCATGAATAAATTAACTGTGTGCTCAGTAATGATAACCAGTACTATGAGTTGCACTCAGAAACATATCAGCTAGTGAATCCCATGACATGGTGGCCTTCTATACAGTTATCAAGATGTGCCTTTTACTACCCATGTTGCTGCATTCTGGGCCCATTGCAGCTTTCAGTTGGTCTTCAAGGGAAAGACCTAGTAGAATGCATTACAGGAGTCCAACTAAGAGAGGTGACTAAGATGTGAATGGCCATGAGCAGGAAAATCAGTTCAACTAGTATATAGCATAGATTTAGGCTGCCATTGTTCCTTAAGCAGGAACTGTGAGTCCAAGGGGAACCCCAAGTCTCACATTGGCTTTGGAGTACATACTTTTAATTCCAATGATTTCTCTGGCTACAATGCCATGTTTGTTGATAAACAGAGATCAGCACCATGGACAGGTCCAAAGGAGGACATATTGATGGATGGATTTCTTGCAATGGAGATCTCAGGAGAGATTCTTTCTACTGCTGTAGAGAGCCACATTTATTAAAATGAAAGTTGTTGTTAGTTGCAAAGTTGTGTCTGACCCATCGTGACCCCATGGACAACGTTCCTCCAGGCCTTCCTATCCTCTACCATCTTCTGAAGTCCATTTAAGCTCACGCCGACTGCTTCAGTGACTCCATCCAGCCACCTCGTTCTCTGCCGTCCCCTTCTTCTTTTGCCCTCAATCGTTCCCAGCATTAGGCTCTTCTCCAGGGAGTCCTTCCTTCTCATTAGGTGGCCAAAGTATTTGAGTTTGGTCATCTTCAGGATCTGGCCTTCTAAAGAGCAGTCAGGGTTGATCTCCTCTAGGACTGACTGGTTGGATCGCCTTGCAGTCCGAGGGACTCGCAGGAATCTTCTCCAGCACCAGAGTTCAAAGGCCTCCATTCTTGTAAGTTCAATTGTAAGTTATATGTCCCCAAATCTTGGAGACATCATAGCCAGTCTGTGTTTTTGCTGATACCCTTTCTCTGTCCTTCTCCTTCAAAATGAATACAGTAATGGTCGACTTTACAATTATTTATTTAGTGACTGTTTGGAGTTGCCACTTAAATCGGTCCTCACACTTACAACTGTCATTGAATCCCCATGGTCAGGCAGTCATGTTTAGGCACCTGGCAACTTGGCAAGAATTTACAATGCAGCATCCTGGGATTATGCGATCACCATTTGTGACTGTCCTGACATGCAAAATTCAGCGAGGGATGCCGGATTCATTTAATGACCGCATGAGTCATTTAACAACCGCAGTGATTTACTTAGCTGTGGCAACAAAAGATCCTAAAATTGGCACGACTCTCTTTAACAACATAATTTTGTTTATTTCTGCTTAGCAACAGGAAATTCTGGCAGCTTCCTGTTTGGAGTGCTTAAAAGGTTATCCCAATTGCACATCCTAAGAAATTCAATGCCAGACTTAAAAAGCAATTTTGCATTCATCTGCCCGGATGGCAAATTGTATCAGTCATTTATAACCATTTATTTATACGGTCAGTCTCTGGGAAATTGGGTGGCATATAAACTTAATTTTATTATAACACTGAAATGATGATGATGATGATCGTATTCAGCAAAACAGGAGCTTGCTGCTTCCAATCACACCTTTAGACTCCAAGCCCCATCATCCCCAGCCTGGCTGGGAAACTATGGAAGCTGGAATTCCACCCTTCACCATGACAACAGGTTTTGGGGGTGGGGTGGGGAGAGAAGCATTGGAGACGCTCTGGCGCTCCGTCTCTATGGCGAAGATATAAATAGCCTCTCTAGGAATTTCCATGCCAGGGGAGAATCTCCTTTTTCTCTCTCTCTTTTCATGCGCGCCATCTTCGGGTCACGTGACGAGCGACGAGCCGAGAGGCCGGCGCGAGGCGCGGTCAGCTGACCGGAAGGGGCTTCCTTCGCGTCCTCCTCGAGGGCTGGAAAAGGAGGAGGAGGAGGAGGAGGAGGCGCCGTTCGGCCATGGAGCGCTACGAGAAGGCGGCGCTCAACGCGCTTTCGCCCCCCGAGGCCCGGTGAGGACGGGGAGCCGTCCGGGGGGAGCCGCTCTTGGGGCTGGGGGGGAGTCTTCAGCCCGGGGGGGGCAGGAAAGGAGGAATTAATTTGAGTCCCTGGTTCAAAATGGAGGGTCTCCCCCCGCTGCCCCCCCCGCATATCTGGGGCTTCTTCCTCATAGGGGAAGGAGGGTTAGGTTGCTTGGAAGGAAGAGTGGAAAATTAGCAATTATCCCAGGCAATTTATTTATTTATTATTTATTTATTAATTTAATTTGTATACCGCCCTTCTCCCAGAAGGGACTCAGGGCGGTGAACAGCCAAAATTAAAAAATTTAGGACAATTTAGGTTATGGTATTCTGAATATTTTCTATATATTTTCAATTATATGGGATTTTCTGAGTAATTTTATATATGTGTGTGTGTGTGTGTAGTTTATACACACATACATTGATTTCTTTATCAGCAAAATATAAATTTGATACAAAATAGTTTGTAGTGAAAGCGACTGCCTGAGGGCTCCTGGAGTGGAGCTGAAAGGTGAAAGGGAAGCAGTATGCTCCCTCTCATATTGGAGTAGACCAGGTGCTTCAACAGAAAAACACTTTATATATATATATATATATATATATGTAGGTCTTTGGTTATTCGGGTCTTCTCCCACGTAAAATTGGAAATTTTACGTGGGAGAAGACCCGAATAACCAAAGACCTACATACAAACATCCGCGAAAACCACAGAAAATACACACACACACACACACACACACACACACACAAATACTTAGCCTCAACGGGGAGGGAATATATGATAAGGGTGTGGCTAACTGATGAGGACCAATCAGTCTGAAATAGATCTATAGTAGTCTCCCAATAGGCAGCAAAATGCTTGCTTGCTCTCTGATGAAGCCTAGGATAGTGGGTGTGATTTCACTGAGCTATGGCTGCAGACTTGGTTACGTAGGAAAATACCCGGTTGAAGAAAAATACACACAAAAACCTATGACAAAAGAAGAAAGCAAATATATATATATTATATTATACACACACACACACACACACACACACACACACATACCCTTACTTGGGTATGGCTAGCTGATGAGAGCCAAATAGCTTGAAATAGATGTATACTAGTCTCCCTTTATTTATCAGCAAAATATAAATATTATATATATATATATATCGATATCTCTGACATTGATTCCTGTAGGTTTTAAAATTCAAGATTGGCTGTGTCAGTTGATTTTGGTATAAATAAAAGGTTTGCCTAACTTAAGCGAAACAAGTATCTTTACTGGAAATAATGCAATTAGATACGTAGACATCTCAAAACCCAGCATTGATTCAAACTAATTTGCTCCGCAAAAAAACCCCCACCACAATTGCCTTAAAACTTTTTAATCAATGGTAGATGATAACTAGAGCAACGATTCAACCCAATTTCTTGGTAATACTTTACAAAATTAAAATATTCCTTTCTAAAGCAATTGCTCTGCTCTTTTTGAAAACATAATTCTTTTTCTTTGTTCTGACTTTTTTTGGTAGAAGTGAAATTTCATTAGCCTCAACTCTAAGGACAATGCTGTTCTTCACAGCTTTAATGATTATGTTACCGATTGGATTGTATTTCTCAACAAAGGCGTATATATTTGAAGGTAATTGTCTTTTATACTAACATTTCTTTTAACTACATCTCTCTGGGTCAACATATTCCAGCAGTGTTTGTCAAGCTTGGCAACTTGGAGATGTGTGGACTTCATACTGGCTGAGGAATTCTGGGAGTTGAAATCCACACATCTTTAAAGTTGCCAAGGCTGAGAATCATTTCATTGTGGTCTCTTATTAAAACATAAAGAATGTATACCTTATTACACGGTGTTAAGCAGCTGTTCTTTTTTGAATGATAAAAGAATTTGAAATAATTTCGGGAAACATTAGACATGTTTTACATAGGTCACAATCTTCGATTAACAAAACATGGAAGAGTACGTGTTCTTTATTAATCTGTTGTACTCATATGTAAGTTTTCATCGTTTTTGTCTTTTCGTTGTTATTTTCCAGATATCTTTGGAATGTCCAACAGAGACAGCTACTTTTATGCTGCAATTGTGGCCGTGGTCGCTGTGCACGTTGTCCTTGCTCTTTTTGTGTACGTAGCATGGAATGAAGGCTCCCGGCAGTGGCGGGAGGGCAAGCAGGACTAAGAGGTGAATGGCTGCCTGACAAAGGAAGATTTGTAGGTGTGGTGCAAACCTCAAAGACTTTCAGAAGTCCCTGCTTGAATTGGATGAGTTTGGTGGGACGGAAACATTTCATTTTGTTTGTATGAATCCATGGTTTCAGGAGTCCCAAAATTTAGCACAGCTGGGAAAAAACCAGCAAGAGGAGAAATTGAGTACCTTTCAGAAAACGTTGATAAATTTTCTAGACAAAAAACGTGGACTCCCTGCACCGTAAGTAGATAATAGATAATAGCTTTCAGTAGACTTGGTAGTATCAAGGTAATTTTTGAGCTTCCAATATCAGTGAAACGGATTGGATTCTTAGGTCTTCGGGAGGGAGATCAGTTTTTGGATTCAGTCTGAACGGCTGATCTTAACGGCTAAGAGAATTAATTGGAACTGGTGTTTATTCTGTATGATGACAGAACAATGATGCCAAGTTGAACCAGACTATCACTCTGATAGCTTTTCATGTAAGATTGTTTCCCCCTAAAAAATTAGATACCGGGTTTTGTCAAATGCCATGATTTTGAATTCAGTTTTCCTGTTATTCACTACCAAGGAGTGAATTCCTTTAAGGAGGAGATTTTCTTGTTTAATGGACCAAGATGTCAATCAATTTATAACCCAAGAGATGTTATCTGGCCATCCAAAAATGTCTCCCATGTTGAAATTTAAAGTTTTGTTTTATCACATGTTCTTTGGGTTGATCAATTGCTACTTTCAGCATCTTTCTGTTGGCAGCCTGTTAATTTGCTGCCTTGTCTTAATGCCTGCAAAGAAATGACCCCGCTGCAGTAACATTATTCCTCTTTTAATGCTGCTGAAAATCATGGACATCATGTGTTGGAATGACTTTGAAATTGGAATTCGGCCTGAACGTCCCATTGCCAGTTTTTGGCGGTGGGGGAGGGAATTCTCTCGTAATATGTTGTACATTATTTGTTGTGAAATAACGAAAATTATCTTCCCCTCCCTCTTTTCATCGGTGAGATGGTTGGCTGCCTCTGACATGACTGGAATTTTTTTGTTTTCTTCACCCAAGTAATGTGTGGCTCCCACAAATTGGTGGAATGAACATTTCGCAAATGCTGATCAGGAGCCATGCTTGCTTCAAAATTAAATTATTTCCCCTAAATCTTGATTATATTGGATTTCTAGATTTCCTCATGTTGTTTTTACCAATGATTTTTGGTAAAAAAAAAAAAAAAGAAGAAGAAGAAGAAAGAAAGAAAGAAAGAAAAAAGAGTGATCAGATCAAACACTGGAAATATTTCAGATCTGAATGCAGTGATCATTTTCAAGTCAAAGATTTGCATTTTGTCAGAGAAAGCTTCCAAGTTATGCAGCTGCTCCTTGTGTTGCACTACAATGATTTTTCACGGCCCTTTTAAATTCCTCATTTTTCTACGACATTGCTGATCTTATTGTCTCCTCTCTGATAGATTAAATTTATGTTACGTATTGCAAATGCTGCATTTACAGTCAAAATGCAGTCATATAGATTCCCCGCTGAGCCCAAAGAATTGAAATGGCTGTAGTAGTAGTTTCTGGATGATCCCTTGATACCTAACGAGTTGTAAATATTGTACCATCAGCAATTTCTCCGACGTTGGATCGCTTCCTTATAAATTGGCTGGTCTGGGTGTATATTATGGGATGTATCTGTGGTATATGCTTGCACTGAACTCTAACCAAGGATATGATTGGGCTTCACACGTTGCACTAAGCAGTTGGTTTTTGTCCCAGCACATTATGTGAGACTCGCTCATTAAGGTATGGAAACTGTGATTTCTGATTTCGGGTTTTGTGCAAACCCAAGTTTATTTATACAATAAACTGCCTAAATCAAGTGTGATGTGACCCCGGTCTGCATTTTCTTCAGATGGGAGAACTAACTCCCAACAGAGTCATGGGACCTACAGCTGTCTTCAGCCTGTTATCCTGTAAATCAGGTGTCTCCAAAATTGGCACTTTTAAGACTTTTGTAGATTTCAACTTCCAAGGATTCCCCAGCTTAGCATGGCTGACTGGGGAATTCTGGGAGTTGAAGTCCACAAGTCTTAAAGTTGCTAGGTTTGGGCACCCCTGCTCTAGATATTAGTGTTTGGAACTATGAGCGTGGTAGCTGGGAACTGGAGGAAATTGCAGCCCTGGCAACATCTGGAATCAATTCTTGAAAGATATGCTTTCATTTTGACTCTTGTTTAGTTCCTGTTTCTTGGTGCTCTCTGAGCTTGCTTGTTTTTTTGCAAACATTTCATTACCCTAACTGATAACATCAGCGCTTCTCCTCTTCTCCTCCACTCCACAAACCCTCATTTCCTTCTAACACTGATGATGTTACCTAGTTGGGTAAAAAAATGTCTGCAAGAAAACCACCAAGCTCAGAGAGCATCAAGGACCCCACAGCCCTCCTCCTCCTCGTCCTCTTCTTCTCTTCTCATCCATTTCACAAATCCCCATTCTCTTCTAGCATTGATGATGTTACCTAGCTGGGGTAATAAAACGTCTACAAGAAAACAAGCAAGCTCGGAGACCACCAAGGACCTCTCATTTCACCCCTGAGCTACAAATATTCTCCTTTATTGGTAGTTCCTGATTCTTAGTGGCACGTGAGTTACTTCCTGCAGACAAAGGGTGTCTGATTCATAGAACCAGGAGGCTTGAAGTCTTTTAGTTCAACCCTCTGCCCAGGGTATGAATTCTCAACTCCCCTCCAAAGAATTGATCGATCAACCTTTAATTCAAAACGTCCAGTGATGGAGCCCACACAGCGGGTTCTTCAGAAGCAGTCAAGAATAAATTGACCTTGTCATCCGACCACAGTCTAATCCAGAGGTCAGCAACCTTAAACACTCAAAGAGCCATTTGGACCCGTTTCCCACAGAAAAGAAAACACCGGGAGCCACAAAACCCTTTTGACGTCTAAAATGAAGATAACACTGCATATATCGTTTTTTACCTTTATGCTATGTATATAAAAAAAGCTTATTTATCCATGGTTGGCCTACCGGGGGGTCGAAAAGCTCAATAAATTGTGTGCCGGTGGGTGTCGCACATTGGCGGTTGTGACACATATTTTGGGTGACGGAGCCGCAGCAGAGGGATGAAGGAGCCACATGCGGCTCCTTGCCACATTGTGGGTTGCTGATCCCTGGTCTAATCTGTTATGATCCTTTCCAGCTCTATTAAGGATAATGTCCTGGAAGGACAGATTGATGGAACAAAAAGCAATAAGTCTTCTAAATAAACAAATAAATAATTATATAAGGGGTCCTCAGTGCTCTCTGAGCTTTGTTATTTTCTTGCAGACCCAACTAGGTAATATCATCAGTGCTAGAGGGGTGTGCATAGAGGAGGAGAAAGGAGGAGGAGGACTGAGGTCCTTGGTGCTCTCTGAGCTTGGTTGCTTTCTTGCAGACGTTTCGTGACTCAATTCTAGGTAACTGAGTGATGTTAACCTAGTTTGAGCCATGAAACGCCTATAAGAAAAGAAACCAGGGTCAGAGAGCACCATGGAGCCCTCAGTGAAAATGCTTCTTCTGTCCCCTAAGGGTCACTGTTGAGCTTTGGCACAGTGGGATAATTAAGGCGAATAAAAGTGCTGTTTCGGTCAGCTCTTCCTTGAATAAGACGCCTGTCATTGCAATTTAAAAACGAAAAGTCAACACCTTTACTTCACCTCATTGCCATGGGCCTACACCAGGGATGAAATGCTCCCGGTTCGGACCGGATCACCCAATCCAGTAGCGATGGAGGCGGGTGGTTCGGAGAACCGGTAGCAAAAATCCCTGCCCTCCCCCATGCCCAGCTGAGCCACACAATCATTAGAGGCTTTTTTTTTTACTTTTAAAAGCATTTTTTCTACAACCTCTTCCAAAAAAATGCTTTTAAAAGTAAAAAAAAAAAGCCTCTGATGATTGCGCGGCTCAGCTGGGATCGTCAGAGGCATTTAAAAGAAAAAAACCCTTTTTTTTCTTTTAAATGCCTCTGATGATCCCAGCGGAGTTGCCTGATCGGCAGAGGCTTTTAAAAGAAAAAAAAAAAGCCTCTGCCGATCAGGCAACTCCGCTGGGATCGTCAGAGCCTTTTGAAAGCATTTTTTTACAACCTCTTCGCCGAAGAGGTTGTAGAAAAAATGGTTTTAAAAGTTAAAAAACAAAAATTGGCCACGCCCACCCAGTCACATTACCCACCCACCCCACCAAGCCACGCCCACAGAACCGGTAGTAACAAATTTTAGATTTCACCACTGGCCTACGCAGCTTAATTTTTCAGTGTCTCGTTCTCATTCTTGTCCCTAGCTGAGCCTCGAAAGCCGAACAGTGTCTTAACTGTACTTAACGTAGCTGTAACTGGCATAGAGGTTAATTTTTGGAAAGGGAAAATTACAGGGAATTCGGGGCAGCGTTTTTGCACCCTCTTTGCAGTCTCCTACAGTCACGTGATTTATGCAATTTATGACCTGCTTTGCCATAAATAGGGGAATACTTCCAGCAACCCCCTTCTCCACCAATTGGATACAACGGGTTTCCTTCATGACCACACCATTCATTCAACAACCGTAGCCTTCCCTTTAATGTCCGCCTCAAAAACGTTGGTAAAATCGGGGCGCGGTCTTATAGTGACCTATTTAGCCAGAGCAACTTAACGACCCACAATTCTGGGCTCGGCTACAGTCGTAAGTCGAGGACTTTCTACCCCTGTGAGCCTCCTTGAGTCGCCACGTGCGAATCGGCGCAAGTATAAATTTTCTAATAAATAATAAATAAAAATAAAAATAAAAAAATTGCCCGTGTTGTATTCTGAATCCGTGCCAAAGCCAAGAAACCCCAGCTTTCCCTCGATGTGTCCGTAAAGCTTTTAAAGAGTTGAGCTTAATTCAAAGAATGTTTTATTTCGTTTGGAGGATCATAGTCCAATCCTGCCCCTCCCTGATCCTTATCCCTCCCTCATCTTAAAATGCTACTTACGTTTCCTTTACAAAGAAAAGAGAGTGTCTTAACATTACTACCGGTAGTAACAGTCAGACTGGGAAACAGTTGGGATTCCATCAGGAATGGGCTTCAAAATCTTTAGCAAGGGGTTCTCTGCCTGGTTGCTGGGTGGGCGTGGCCTAGTCAACCTCCTGTGTGTGTTTTGCCCTCCCCGGGCTCCAGAGGCTTTTCCTCGCGCCTCCAGGAGGGCAAAAACGGCCTCCCCAGACTCCGGAGGCCCTTCTGGCGGCCTGAATGGAAGCCTGAACTTCCGGTAGGCCTGTTTTTCACCCTCCCAGAGTCTCTGTATGCGCCGTGCACTTACTTACCTGCATTCAAAATGGGCCAGGTGGGGACTCCTGGGAGGGGAGGGGTGTGGTGGGAAGGGCCAGCCAGGAGTGGGATTTGGGGGTTCTCCGAACTGCACAGAATCTTAGCTACAGGTTCTCCCGAACCCCTGCGAACCCCCAGCAGCCCACCCCTGGATTCCAAGTTTTCAGCAGAAGGAACCGAAATTCCTCCTCCTCCCCGGTGATGCCACATCGGCCATCTCTCTACAATGCCTGGAGGGGTCGGGTAATTGTACGTTTGTCGGTCAAAGATGCTAGGGGTGAAGCGGAGGGGAGAGAAGCGACAGAAAAAGAGCCATCATTTCCCAGCACAATATTGTATAAAACAATATTTTTTTTTGTAAACAGGTTGGAGGATGCTGGGAACGGAGTCGCTGCAATATAACAATTATTGCGTGTGTTATGCCATCTCCGGCTTTGTGCCTGCTTGCTTGTAAACGAAAAGACAAACAAGCCAACTTAAATCATGAAGGGAAGCTGCTTTTGTTTTCCTAAGGAGCTAGGCGAGAGGGTCGAGAATCAAAAAGCGGCATAATTTTGGTTACATGGCGAAATCCACCACCTTTGGAAGAAACTGACGTGACTCAACTTTGTTTAAAGGAACGCAACCTCGAAAAAAAGATTAGAAAAGCTTTACGGCCTCAACAGGCCTTCACCTTGTCTGCCAGCATTTATTCCCCCCCCATTTTAGAGTGTCCAAGAAAAGAGACTTGAATTGTTCTTAGCTTCTGGCTACAAGTGAAGAAAGTCATTTTGATATCTTGCAGAGGAATATACTGTCCAGCCTGCTGCTTTTTTTTTTCTCATTCCAGCCAGTCATTCAAGTGGCTCTGTTTGCAAAACAAACAGAAGAAGCAGAAGGCAGATAATGCTAGAAAAATAATAATAAAGCAGTTAAAATTCAAATTGGGTTGCAAAACCAACCTTGATTAAAACCAGGTCTGTTAGCTCCTCTTTGCAGAAAGCAGCTATTGAGCGCTTTCCCAACTCTTACGGGTTCCTAGCAGGTGACCAGCTTGGCTTTACAGATTGACAAGAGTTGGAAGGGGTCTTGTAGGTCATCTAGTCCAACCCCCCATCTTCGCCCGAGCTGGGGACCCTACACCAGGGGTTTGCAACCTTAAACACTCCCATTTCACACAGAAAAGAAAACACCGGGAGCCACAAAACTCTTCCCGTGCCTGACTATTTCTTGAGCGGCCACAAAACAAGCATATGTAGTTGAATTAAACCTTCTGTTTTCTTCTGAAACTTTTCTTTTCTCAGATTTATCCCTGGTTGGCCTACCAGGGGTTGAAAAGCTCAATAAATCGCGTGCCAGCGGGTGTCTCACATTGGCGGTTGTGACGCAAATTTTGAGTGACAGGGAGCCGCAGCAGATGGGTGAAAGAGCCACATGCGGCTCCAGAGCCGCAGGTTGCTGACCCCTGCCCTACGCCATTTCTGAAAAACGGCAGTCCAGTCTCTTCTTGAAAGCTTCCAATGATGAAGTTCCCACAGCTGCTGAGTTCTGTCCAAACCCGT